TTCCCCACCAATATCATACTTGTATGTATTAGTCTGTAATGGTTTGAGGGTGGGCACATTTATCATTTCTAGCACAAGATCTATGCTTTACTGTTTAGTTACAGCACTGTATACATTTTCTCTCTGTACAATGCTTTCCCAATAAACGTATTTTTCAATGTATTACACATATGTGGCCTGATCCCTCCATCATGGAGGTAAGTGGAGAGACTCTAATGTGGCTGGACCAAGTCTGCATGGAAAGAAGGGGATCCATGAAGATGTAGTATTGGGTATAGATTTTTCTAGCCCAAATCCAGGACATTCTGATTACTCGTGACTGGAGAAGACACATGTAAATTAGGAGGTCCAAAAAAGCTTTATGCTATGCATCCTCAAGAAAGTCTTATGCCCCTTAACATTTTTTCCCTACTCTGGTACCACTCTACCACTGGTACCATGCCTGTCTCCAAAGAGGCGATACGTAGGAAGCTAGATGCTGTTATCCCAATAAGTCAGATGCATTGACAATAAATATGAGCATGAGGAATAGGCTTTTCTGGGAACGAATGAAGAATTTTCATAAGTCTGTTAAATGAAATTGAAGCAGCTACCAGGAAAAGACCAGCATTGCATGGATGAAAACAAAATATATTTAGAGATGTGTAAAATGGTAAGGTCAAAACCAACCCAAGCAAATCAATTCAACATTTTCCACTGGGATGCATGGTATCATCTCTTTATAGATGGACCTGCATGCATGCACTTATGCTTAGGGTTACTCTATAGAGACTCTATGCAAACTGCAATGCATGTGATCTAGTTAAAAGCACCAGGGCACGAGCACCAAGAGAGGTGGTTTCATTTGTAAGGCACTAAGCCGGAGGGAGAACTGATCTATGTTCAACTCTTTGCCGACAACCCTCCTCTGTGACCCTATGAGCAAGCTGTTTAGGATCTGAATACAGTAGACATGAAGGAACTTTTACGGATATCAGTATGATTCATCTGGGTCCTCCTGTAACTTCAGCCTCATTTCTGTAAATGATAGCAATGAAATGTAGAAATAACAACACTTCCCTTTAGCAGAGGGATTCTGTGAGGATAAATTCAATAGATGTTTGGGAGGCACTTGAATAGTTCTCCACTGTATTTTCTCTCCTTGAAAGATAAGTTTAAATTTAGATCCATCTCAGATACTTACACAGCCCCCACTACAGTCAGGTCTGAGTGTCTCACAAGCTTTAATGCATTTATCATCACACAACTGCAATGTAGGAAAAGGCTATTATTCCTAACCCCCATGGTGGAACAGGGATACAGGGCACCCGTACACAACCCTGGCTTTTTCTAGCTAAAGATCATCTCTAGGTTTATTTCACTCTGGCAATGTACCACGATGACTCCCATTATTATTTTGCATGTAACAGGTTAAATGCTCATAATTGATGAATGTGCTATTACTAGTGAAAAAAAAATGCTAGAGGGCACCTGGTGAGCAAATTGTGTCAGAACAGGGAAAATGGCGATTTTAGCGGTGTGCGAGAATATCCGTAGCGAAAGTTTCACGATAAAATTAAACCCGGTGGAACAATTAGCCACAGTTAAAACAAAACTTGTCAGAGGTGGTTTAACTTGCCACGATAAATTGAAACCTACCACGAGAAAAAAAAAAATCAACATGAAAATAGTCGACTGACCTAGTAAAACAGGGATTTTGGGGGCTGTTTCGTAACATGTATCTAAACAATACACATCGTGTACAAGGGCCCACAAAGACCAAAGCCTAGATTGATCTCATTTGAAGGTAGGCATTTACATAGCTTAGAGATCTGGGCTTATTTGACTTGCTCATGGCCACACAAGAAGTCTGTGGTGAAGCCAGGAACTGAACCCCAGCCTTTTTGGGCCCAAAATAGCACCCTTTGACTTAAATAGATTTCATAGACTTTCATAGACATTCGGGCTGGAAGGGACCTTGGAAGATCATCGAGTCCAGCCCCCTGCTCAAAGGGCAGGAAGTCAGCTGGGTTCATAGGATCCCAGCAAGATAAGCATCCAGTTTGCTCTTGAAGGTGTTCAATGTAGGCGCTTGAACCACCTCCAGTGGCAGGCTGTTCCAGACCTTGGGGGCTCGGACAGTAAAATTCTTCCTTATGTCCAGCCTGAAATGGTCTTGCAGTAGTTTATGACCATTCGACCTCGTCATCCCTTGGGGCGCTCTGGTGAACAAGCGTTCCCCCAGATACTGGTGGTCACCCCTGATAAGCTTATAGGTGGCCATCAGATCACCCCTGAGCCTGCGCTTTTCCAGGCTAAAGAGCCCCAGGGCTCTCAGCCTGTCATCGTAGGGTCTGCTTCCCTGACCTCTGAGCATGCGCGTGGCTCTTCTCTGGACTCTCTCAAGCTTCTCCACATCCTTTTTGAATTGTGGAGGCCAAAACTGGATGCGGGACTCCAGCTGCAGCCTCACTAAGGCCGAGTACAAGGGGAGAATGACGTCCCAGGATTTGCTTGGGACAGTTTCCTGCAGAGAATACAAGACCAAAGCTACGGGCAGCCAATGCACGTGAGAGCAATACAGAAATCAATAATCCTAAGCAGCTTTAAAGTAAAAAACGTGCACCTGGAGAAGATGCACTGTCATTTAAAAAATCTGTTCTTCCACAAAACGGTTATTTCTCAGCGTTATAGCTGTGTTTATCTGGTTATCAGAAGGGAATCTGACAAGAAGATTGCTTTATTCTTTTATGACATTCTCCTAACGGCTCTCATCGAGATGGCCATGCTAAGAGGAGCTGAGTGAAGGGCCTAAGAAAAGAGAGGGGACATAAGTTCCTACTGATGCATCAGAGGATCAGAAAGCTGGAAAAGAGTTGGGATGAAATGAAAGGTTAAGACTGGGCAGAAAAGCGGGACAGGTGAGGAGGTAGTTTTGCAGAATCAGCGAACGGGCAGATGTTTTGAAGGGCCCCGTCTCCATCCAGGCACTGACGTAGTCTTAATTAACGAGACAAGGAGGGCAACAAGTTCTTCCAAACATCTGGCTGCTTCTGTTCGTAACTGCAGCCCAGACTTCTAAAGGTATCTTGGCCCCATTGAAATCAAAACCTTAATCCTTTAAAAATATGAGCTTGATCCCTTTTGACAATCAAAGACTACTTACGAGCAATTGGCTCCTCTTTGGAAATCTGGCCGCTGATAAATAAGACCGACAAAACACATGCAAATAATAGGAGAGAAAAAAAAATACTTTGGAGGTCATTGTTGTGGTGCAAAAGTGTTCATCCATTGGTAGATTACCATTAAATAAGCACGTAAATATGTGTATGCCATTCCTATAATTATAATAATGGGTTTGTGATTTATACAAGGCCTGACATTGGAAAATTCATGGAGGCAAACTTTCTAGTGAATGCCGATAGGATTAAGGTTGCACCTTCTGTCATCCCTGCTGAAACATAGCTACCTCCAGGAAGAAACAGGGCAGCTGTTCAACAGTGCCCAGTAACACTCATTATTCAGCTATTTTAGGACAGGAAGTGAAGTGCATCGACGCATATTACTAAAACAGAAGGGATAGGTAGGTTAAAAACTATAATTTAGTGATCCTTTAGTCTCACTGACTTTTAGGGTGCCACGGGCCAAATCCAGTATATTCTGCGTACAGTGATCTCTACTTCACCACAGGGGTAAGAAGATTTCTAGCAATGGCGGCACTGTAGAGCAGTCTTATCGAACTACAACTACCAGGCAATTGAGATAAAGAGAAGAGGGATTTGCCCATTACCAGCTGTCTGAAACCATCGTTCTTGTAACAAATGCATCAAGCTCCTCAGGGACTGCTCACGGTGAAGAACTCTATTCTATAACATGGCCTGAAGCAGACAGTGTCAACAACCCAACAGGCCCTTGAATTAATTGGGACATTATCTCAGTCTTGACTTGGATGGGAAAGTGCCAAGTACTGACACACCAGTGCCCAAGCGACTGGGGTTGCTCTTGGAAGGCTCTTTATAAAAGCAAATTTGAGTGCGGGGCAGAAGCCAGACCTTTTCATGTGCTGTTTAGCAAAGAAGGATGCAAAGTGCACTGATGCTATTAGGTATAATTAATAGCTCATAAGTGGACACTAGTGGGCATCTATTGTCCAGGTCTGGCAAAACGGCTTTCAGATGCACAGGCTTTGGGTTCCATTAAGAAAGCATTTGAATTGCAGCAATAAAACAGGCTTACGCTGTAAGTGCCTCCCAGATGGCACGCTTCATTTGAATGTCCAGTTCTAATATGGGATCAGCAATAGTATTCTCCCTGTTCTTTTGTCATAATAAGGAGGCACTTCATCTCTTAGCGGGAATGAATGGAGCACTTAAAGAACAAAGGGAGACTATTTTGACTACCAGGTAATAAAAAAGTGTGTGTTTGCGGGGGATGCTCTCTAAATTGCTGACAGATTGATCCTGGCTTTGAGCTGGCCATGCAATGTGGGAGGGAAGCCATGTTAAAAATGACTGGCCTGTATGCACAGCAGGCATAACTGTAAGCCCTTCATCATATGAGAGTTTAAGGTTCGTGTCCTGCAGTACTCAACTGGAATGGAGTGGGGGTAGAAGAAGGGATGAGGGGGGCATGTCTCTGTCCTCCCCCAGTATGAAAGGGCAGGTCTGGCTAGACACATGGGTGCATACTGGGAAATGGTGAAAGAACTGCAGCGACACTGTGCCTACGAGCCTTCAAAAAAAGGTGCCTTGTGAAACCCCAGCATCCTACGCTGCAGCGAGCAAGGAGAGAGGTTAATATTGCTATCAGTGCAAATAAACAACATCGCTGACAATCCCACTAACAAGACTTTAATTTTGCTTTTGCACTGGTATAAGTAACAGCTGTGCTATTTTAAGGTCAGCCCTTGCAGACTGAAAACACACATAAACACGCACACACACACACTGCTCTGTGCAGATAATTATGGAGGCTTTATCATGTAATCAAGGACAACTTAAGAAACCATAAGTGGAACTTACCGGTGACCTTGCCCAAGCTGAGTGATTTGATGGCCCTGAAGTCAATCTCCGAGAAGTTGTGCTTGACTTTGAGAACTTGATCCACCTGAAATAGGTCAATAAAATAAGTCCATTACGACAGCATGCACAGCCTCCCCAAAACATATTACAGAGCCAGCTTGGGGAAGAATTTAGCCTCTATAGAGCTACTTGCCAAAAGCAAATAATACTTGGTATCAACTGGGCTTATGTTTCTAAGCATGGCATGAGGAATGTGCATGGATTTGGTAGGAGAAGCTAAAAAGTGCAACAGAGTCTTCATATAGCAGGACTTTTAAGAAACCTTTTCTGCAAGTATAAAATATTTGCAAAGTGCTTATGTCCTGCCAGAGAGTTCTTGCCTACTCATCTTCTATTGCAGTTACCAAATGAAGCCTGGCTGTAAATGGATGGCCAAGGATCAGTGCCGCATGGGGGAAGTGATTGGGGGGATTGCACGTTATACTTAGACCAGACTTAAAATTTGAGAGTCTGCACATTAAAGCTCATTAACTCATGCTAAGTGCCTTCTGAGTGTCTCAAAGTTATGCCATTTCAGGCGATGACTAACTCTGTGTGGGGCTACATAGTTCGTGTTAGGGTCACTTCAGTCTTATCACTTCAGAGATAAAATGAGCAATTTGCAGTCTTCCAACGTCCCAGAATGCACCATCTCCCATTCCTTACCCAGACCAAGGATAGAGCCCAGGTATCCATGCTCCTATCCATGTCCCTGCTTGCTAGCCCTCTAGTAGAAAGGCAGACAATGAATGGTACTAATCCTTAATGTGCAGCTGCTCACTGCCCGTTCTAGCTTTAACGCTGCTTAGCATCCCACAGATTTAGTGTGATCTAAGTGTAACTACACCCCTAATTGGGCAATAAGATAAGATCATCATATGGGATAACTCCTCCTTACTGGTCATATCACTTGCTTGCTGCAGGCTCAGACCCACCTCTATTAAGTGCTGTATTCATTTTTGGCCACATCTGTATAGTCTTCTGTGCTAAGAAACCTGAAGTTAAAACAAAACATGCACGTGCAGTGCAAAACTCTCTCTTTCATCCTGCATCTTTCGAAGCACACTCCTCCTCTCCTGTCTCTCTATGCTAATTAATAACTGTCACAAAATCCCACTCTTTGCAAATAAGCAGATGCTTGCCAAAAAGCTGGTACAATTCCCTTAGGAATGAAACCAAAAGGGGAAGCTGTGAGTGCATGCCCCTTCCCGGCTTCGAGAAGCAGGAGAGCAAAAGGTTTCTAGTTAGCCCCTCAGCAATTGAACAGGTCCTAGATTGAGCATTGTTTCTCAAAGAGACAGCAGGAACGATGTAGTTGGAAAGCACGCAATAAAGGGCCTGTGGCATTCTCATCTTCGGGTGGAATATGATCACAGTTGATGGGGTGCGTGCACACCAACGACTACGTTCTTCAGTCTCTGCAAAGATAAAGACCTAATCCCACTGTCCTGCTGACATGAATGAGACTGTGCGTCCAAGTACTCATCACTGCATGTGACAGGACAAAATGTAGCCCTCTTCCCCCTGGATTATCTAACTATGGTCACATTCTGCCTGAGGACAGACACACGAATACAATGAGACTCCTGCATCTCTACTCAGCCCAGCCCCTTGGCAGTGCACCGATGAGTAAAAAGCATAGTAAATGATCATTCTGCTAAGAGCAATTTTGTGTCAGTCTTGCACACACGGGACCTTGCACTAGCGAGCAAACAGGAACACAAGGTGGCCCACTAAAATCAAGGGGACTGACTGTACGGAAAAGCACTAATTAATATTGAGCATGGACGACTGAATCTGAGCTGTGATGTAGGCCGCCGTGATGGGTAGGTCTGATACCTGGATGACGAGCTCCTTTCCTTCTCTGTTGATCTTCACATGGTGCATTTCTCGATTGGCAAAATTTCCAGAGTCGATGGTGAAAATGAGGAGTCCGTCTTTACTCAGCCGGTATCGGACCTGTAAACTTCCTTAAAAGTAGAGCACATTTCCAGCTATAAGACTTGTGTCCGTAATGAGGCTCTGTTCAATAGGTTTACACAGTATGAGACATTCATTGCGTTTAGAAAAGCAGCGTAACACGTACAAGAGAGAGATGTTGAGAATAAGAAGGCATCAAACTTGAATGAGCAGAATGGACCATCATGGCTACAACATAATTTTAACACTACCACTGCATGAAAAATTAATTTGTTGGAAGTTTTTCACATGAGCGGACAGACTCCAGTCCCCAGATACCTACCTTAAACAACTGGGCAAATAGCTGTCTTAGAGGAACGCGTGTCTACCCATGGGTCAGGCATTTTAACAGAAGCACATTATTTGATAGATATTAAATTCTGTATGAATGGTTATTTCCACCAGAGGGCATGCAGATCTGCAGATCTAGCACTGTTTTGGAAGAGTAATAATTGTGGGTTTTATCAGTGCTCTTCAAGAAGCCAGTCAAGTAAAATATAATGGCTAATGTAGATGATGGTATATTGGATATTGTTTGAAATGAGAATGGTCATGGCTTTTCTTGTTCAAAATATGATTTTGTCGCAGGTATCTTCAGAAACACGTTATGATTTACACTCCATATGTCAAAGGTAAATTGTAAATGAAGCTAGAACCATCGTTTGACCTTGCTTTTCTAGCCTGCTTGCAAAAATCTATATAATTCTCTCTCTCACACACAAAAGCAGATGCTTTCAATGCTCTTTTATAACAAAACATCAGCTGTGGCTGCTTTGAGCTTGCAAGAAACAACAATACAGTGACAAAGCTGTGAGGGCACAAAGAAAGAAAGGGAACGGTTAACAGAGTTAATCCTTTAGCATGTGCCAAATGAAAAAATATATAAATATAAAGATTTGGGGACAAAAGACATTGGCAGATCTTATAAACTTACGTTTTGACCACAGAAGAACAAACCTGGCTAGATCGTCATGCGGGGAAATGACACGTACACAAAACAAAAACTCTCGAGAACTCCTGGGGCTCTTTTACAGGTCGGTAACGGAAACAGGCTGAATAATTCTGGTTCAACTCATTTAAAAAGCCTTTGCAAAGCTATTTTGTTACATTCGCTAAATGAGAATCTCAAAGGAGATAAGAAATGCATACATAATCCTGCAATCTATGGAGCAATATTTCTTCATTATGCTTTTCCTGCTATTTACAGCAAAACAGTAACATGTGCAACTCCTATGCCCTTCCTTCCTAAAACTCCTGTTTGAGCTAATTTCAAACCTCCCTCGATTTGGAGAGTCTAATAGACAGACAGTACCTACACTGAACTGTAGGGAAGTGATGGTCACTAGGGGATTTGTTTTCCCACTGCTATATTTCTAGGCTTTGTTTCCTCACTTGCAGATAACATTCCCAATCTTTCAAGTGCCCACCTTCAAGAAGGGGAGGAGGGAGGACCTGGGTAACTATAGGCCAATTAGCCTAACTTCTATCCCAGGGAAAATCCTGGAAGAAATCATTAAGCAGTCTATGTGCGGTACGCTTGCAGAAAGTAGGACTCTGAATGACGGTCAGCATGGCTTTGTCACAGGCAGGACTTGTCTTACCAACCTCATCTCCTTCTGTGGCCAGGTAACTTGCTACCTGGATAACAGAGAAGAGGTTGACATTGTATTCTTTGACTTCCAAAAAGCTTTTGATCTGGCATCCCATGATGTCCTCATGAGAAAGTTGTGGGCTTAACTGCGAGGCAGTCAGTTGGGTGGCATGCTATCTGTGGGGTAGGACCCAGACAGCCCTAATGAACGAATCTGTGTCGTCCTGGCAAGAAGTGGGCAGCGATGTCCCGCAGGGGTTGGTGCTTGGTTGAGTGCTATTCAACATCTTCATCAATGATTTGGATGTGGGGGTGAAGAGCTCACTGGCCAAGTTCGTGGACGCCACCAAGTTACGGGGAAGTGTGGTCACACTTGAAGATAGGCTGGAGATACAGGCGGACCTAGACAGGCTAGCAAGTTGGGTGGACCAGAACCAGATGAAGTTCAACATCGAGAAATGTAAAGTGCTCCACCTTGGGATGAGCAACCCCCAACACACCTACAGGCTTTGCAATGGCAACCTGACCAGCACCGTGAATGAAAGGGCCCTGGGGGTAATAACTGACCACAGTATGAATATGAGCCGTCAGTGCGATGCTGTAGCCAATAGGGCAAATAATACTCTGGCATGCATCAATCAATGCATCTCCAGCAAAACCAAGGAGGTGATTCATCTGCTGTACTCAGCACTGGTGAGACTTGAGCGTTACATCCAGTTCTGGGTGCTGCAATTTAACAAGGACATGGACAAGCTTGAGAGGGTCCAGAGAAGAGCCACCTGTATGATCACTGTCTTGCATGGCAAACCATATGAGGAAAGGCTGAGGGATCTGGGATGCTTCAGCCTGAGGAAGAGAAGGCTGAGAGGGGACCTGGTAGCAGCTCACCGCTACACTAGAGTACATCAAGGGCTCAGTGAGCAACTGTTCACCAGGGCGCTTGAGGGGAAAACCAGGAGTAATGCCCACAAACAGCTGGAAGACCTATTCAGGCTCAACATTAGGAAAAACTACTTCACAACGAGGGTGTCCAGACTGTCGAATAAGCTTCCTCCAGAGGTGGTACAATCGCCTGCCCTGGAAATCTGCAAGAGGAGACTGGACGGTCACCTTGCTGGGGTCGCCTGACCCCAGCTGTCTTTCCTGCCTGGTGCAGGGAGCTGGACCCGATGATTTTTTGAGGTCCCTTCCAGCCCTACAATCTATGGATTTATTAATCTAAGTTCTCCTTGGATGAAATGCCCCCTTGAGCAGATGTCCTATTCCCCACTACAATCTCACTCACCTTTACAGTAAGGTTTAAAGTGGTGCAGGCATCTGACATGTGCCTCCTTCATGAGGGAGAGTTTCGGTCTCTTTTTATGGCAGAACCCAAAAAGTTTTCAAAAACAAATTGCAATGAAAGTAAGCCATTTTCCTAATTTTCCAGGGTGTGTGAGTAGAAGATTAGCTTCTCGGAGTTAGCAGAGCTCCCAAAGATGCGTAGGAAAAATGAGAAAGGAGTCGGGAACTGGCTTTTGATCATTTCATAGGCCTACACAGTCACCTGAGGTTTCACCATAAGGAGAAAATAAAGGAACTAAGAGGCACCTAATCATTTAAGTTGCATTCATTAAATGTTTCACTAATTTAAGAGGGGAACGTGTGTATAGATCTAGGTCAGTACTGGACCTACCACTGAAGAGAGCCTTATTCTTCAGTCCCTCCCAGTCTTTCTAATGGATATTATGATTCATTATTTATATTTTTTGTCAAAACATGCATTAAGATGAAGTTACGGCTGAGCACAGGTTATAATGGGACACCAAGCAAGAACGTTACTATCATGGCATTATTGTATGATCATGGCAACTCTGTAATTCTCATAATGCCCATTGCCCGGGGTCCCTGAAAGGTCATGGACCTACTACACTGAGGGCTACAGAGATGATGCAGAAAAAAAACATTCCTGTTTGAAACAAAAAACAAAAAACAAAACCTTCTAATTTCATTAGGGGAAGCAATTCAGGGGAGGCAACGCAGAGGCATATAGTGGTACCCAGGTTGACACAACGGCAGAGATGGGAATGACCCCACCGCTCCTGGTTCCTCTGCGACAGCCCTAACAGAGCTACTGGAAAGACTCATTAGAGCTAGACATTAGAGCTGGGATACATCACAACTTCTATGCATGGCCACACCATTTATTTGGATGAGACACTTAATACCCTTGGCTATCAAAATACCTGTCCAGCTTCCAGAGATGATAAGAAAGATAATAGGTATTTGAAATCAGCTACTCAAAACTAATGGAATAAACTAAAGCATTTTTGCTTCAGGCCAAAATTACACTAATATCCATCTGAAGCCATTTTCCCAATCTTGATAAAGTGACTTTAGGATTTTCACCCGTTGAACTGAGAGCAGAATTCAGCCCATATTCAGCACCAATTCTTTCCACACTGATCAAATTGTTTTGTTCTATATAAAAGCAGGACAAAGAAAGAAATAGAGTGTTAATTATTTTTGTTGAGAAGTCCTTTGTGTATCTTTGAATTTGGATTAGCTGGTTGGTTGGAGACTTTTGTCACATTATGCTCGTGTCACCAGCCACAAACAAATGCCTGGGAACAATCTACATTTTCTGAAATGTTTGCATCATTTATTTTTGATCATAGGCATTCATGTACCAACGGTACTATGTTTCTGGGAGCTGTACTATGGTCATGGGCAATCTGCCATCCTGTCTTCACTTAGGCCAGGTATAGACATGATACTTTTACCAGCAGAAGTGATCAGAAACTGGTCTATATCTGTAACCGAACAGAAGTTTGGCACATATAGACTGGTTTAAAAATGGGACAACCCAGTCTAAGATTTGCCCTCTCTCTGCAAAGGGCAAACGTGTGCTCTGTTCACTACCGATCTTAACTGTGCCGCTTACAGAAAACCACATAACTTAGACTGATTCTTCCTTGGGCTTCTTGAATATCTGTACCTAGCCTTAGTGCCTGGGACTGCACACCAGACTTGTAACAGTGCTCAAGCAATGTACTGCCAATTATGTTGAGTTCCCGAAGACCACCGTTATTAACTACATGCAGTGAAGGGACAGTTCTGTCTTATATGCCAGATTCTTGCCTCTGGTTGATGAAGATTACTGGTGATAGTCTGTGTAGCAGGAGATGTTAGACTTAATGATCTTCAGGGCTTCATCTGGCCTTTCAACCTATGTCTAAATTGCAGGCGATGGCACGTTGAAATGCTTAAGCTAGCTTTAAATAAGCTAGCATAGGTATGGGAAACAGGCCAGCCATGGCAGCATGGAGCTCCCTATGGTTTAATTTACCTTGCTTTTCATCAAGATAAATTATCCTCTGTGGAGCTCTTTGCTGTTACTGTTAGATTTGGTATGTGACATAGCTTAAAGATAACTTAACC